TTTTTTTTTTTTTTTTTTTTTTTTTTTTAAATTTAATTAATTGTATGAGTTAGATTATTTCAAGTAAAATTATCGTTCCCAATAAAATGTTACACAATTTCACACTATAAAACCTACAAATAATAATAATAATAAAAATAATAAAATAGAGATTTTTTTTTTAATAACGTATAAATTTTCACTGATTTATAATAGTTACTCACGATTTAATTTATGCTAATTCATTCATAAATTTCAATAAAAATCTATAATTTTATTTTATACGTCATTACAGATTTAATAAATAAATAAATAAAATACTTTTTTTAATAATATTTTAGAATGAAAATGAATAGAATATGACAAATTATATGTATAAATTAAATATTTCATTAGAAATAGTATTATGACATGATGTGTAACGAAAATATAATTTGAAAATAAATTAAATCATATTATCATATTAAATAAAATAATTGTAGTTTTTTTTTTAAGTGTAGTGTATTTTTGTTTGAGGAGTGAAATTTAAATAATTACTATTTTATTTTTAAAATTAAATATTTTATTAATTGGATTTGGGCTAGTTTGTGTTTGTCCATTTCAATTGAAGGAGAGTAAAGCAAATGACCTAACCTTAAACCACCGGTGGGAAGTATTTTATGTTCCGTCTCGGTGTTTTGCCCGATAGTTGCGGCGGCGCTCCGACGAAAGAAGAAGAGGTATGGCGGATATACCATAGTTTTCAACGGAATTGAAATTCTCCCGCTGTGCCGAGTTTTTGTATTTCTAATCGCGCTCTTTCCTGCGATTTCCTTTCATCCAACACCAATGCATCGAATTCCCGCTTCGAATCTCACCAAACTCTCGAAGCCCTTCGTCTTCCTCGCTTCAATTCCCAAGTCAAATTTCTCTTCTGCTTCATCCTCAACATTTTTACCATCAATTCCTCGGTCCGAAACTAAATTAATCGTCAACCCTCTTTACCATTTTCTCCCACAAAACCAAAACCCCTTCAACATCGTCGAACTCGTCTCCTCGCACCTCAAAACCAGCAACACAAACTTATCCCTTCTTCAATCCGACATTAAGGAGCTTCTTCCTCACTTGGGTCATCGTGAAGTCTCCAAGATTATATTGAGGTGCCAATCTAATTTCGTCTCTGTTCTTGCTTTTTTCAATTGGGTTAAATTTGATTTGGGGATTACACTTAGTTCTCAAAACTATTGTCTTATTATCCATATATTAGCATGGTCCCGACAATTTTCCATGGCGATGAAATTCTTGTCTGAATTGATTGAGTTGTCTAAGGATAATGCCTCAGGTAGTGAGGATGTTTTTCATAATCTGGTATTGTGCACTGAGCACTGTAATTGGAATCCTGTTATCTTTGAAATGCTTATTAAGGCGTATGTGAAAGTTCATATGATTCAGGAAAGTTATGAGAGCTTTAAGAAGATGGTGAAGATGGGTTTTGTTCCAAGTGTGATTGCTTGTAATTGTATTCTAAATGGACTGGCGAAGATGAAGTGTGATGCTCAATGTTGGGAACTCTATGAAGAAATGGGAAGGATTGGAGTTCACTCAAATGCATATACTTTTAATATTTTGACTTATGTTTTGTGTAGAGTTGGGGATGTGAATAAGGTTAATGAGTTCTTAGAAAAGATGGAAGAAGAGGGTTTCGATCCCGACGTCGTGACGTACAATACTTTGATCAATAGCTATTGTCGAAGAGGAAGATTAGATGATGCATTCTATTTATATAGGATAATGTTTAGAAGGGGTGTGATGCCCGATCTTGTTTCATATACTTCCTTGATGAATGGTCTTTGTAAGTTAGGAAGGGTAAGAGAGGCCCATCAGCTATTTCATCGAATGATCGATCGAGAATTGGATCCCGATGTCGTATTGTATAATACGCTAATTAATGCATATTGCAAGGATGGAAGGCTGCAAGAGGCAAGATCATTGCTACACGATATGACTCGAATTGGCATTTGCCCTGATAGTTTCACTTGTAGGATTATGGTGGAAGGATATGGAAGAGGAGGTAGGTTGATCTCAGCTTTGAATTTGGTTGTCGAACTTCGGAAACTTGGAACGATTGTTACTTACGAGATATATGATTATCTTATCGTGTCGTTGTGTCTGGAAGATCGTCCATTTGCAGCTAAGAGTGTTCTTGAAAGAATCATTAAAGATGGTTTCCAACCTAATGCTTGTATCTACAACAAGCTGATTGAATCTTTCTGCAGAGTTCATAATGTTTCTGAAGCACTGCTTTTGAAATCTGAAATGGTAAAGAGAAATTTTAAACTTAGCATTGATTCATACAAGCCTCTTATATCCTGTTTGTGTGGAATCAATAGAAGTGTAGATGGTGAAGGTTTAATGGTAGAAATGGTTGAATCTGGAGTGCTTCCGGATCATCAAATATGCAGAGTATTGATAAATGGATACTGCAAAGAAGGGAATGTTTATAAAGCAGAATCATTATTGGTATCATTTGCTAAAGATTTTGAGTTCTTTGACACTGAAAGTTTCAATGCCTTGGTTAAATTTCATCGCGATTTTGGTAATGAAACGGAGTTGATGCAGCTACAAGATCGAATGCTGAAAGTCGGTTTCGTTCCGAATAGCTTAACGTGCCGATACGTTATCCATGGATTATGGAAATCTGCAAGGCTCGACAAGAGGAGAGTTCAGGCTCCTCTTTGCCAAAGAGGGCGACATATAGATATGTGATTTGGTAAGTTGAAGCAGTCGTCGGCACTGGAATCGTAGCAGCGACACAACAGGAGGATCGACGTCCAAGTGACCTTGAGAATGCCAGAGAGCTCACAAGTAGAATCACAGCAGTCACCGGCACACCAGGGAGGGTCAACGTCCAAGTGACCATTTGAATGCCAGAGAGCTCAGAAGCAGAATCACAGATAAGTAATGGGCCGCTAGTGTCTAGGCCCAATAAAAATTGTAATGGGCCAAAAGTGTGTGGGCCCAAGAAAGATTGTAATGGGCCAAAGAATGTGAAGAGGAGGGTGAGTTTTAAAGGTGGGCGAGGGAGGGCGGTATGTTTGGAGGCGTCGTGCAGCGGCGTGGGTCGGCAGAGGGGACTTTTTGGACGGTGGGCGTGGGAGCCCCACACCCAC